TGCTGCTCTGCTGCAACTGCAGAACACCTTTACAATTCAGCCAAAACAACTCATTTTCTAACATGGAGCATGTTTATTTCAGGTAAGAGCTTGCATTACAGTATTGCCTAGTGCAGGGCTCGATTCAATTCTCGTCCCATTCCTTCTACCTGGCTTTCCTCCATGTTTCTTCCTTGCACTGATCCACTACAGCCACTATGTAAAAACAAAACCTGACGATCGCTAGCCTTGGACAACTTACACCCTGTAGTGATGAGGAGGCTGAGGAGCACCAAGTACACTCCTTTTTATGGCTGATATCAGAAGAGCTCACAGTGAAAAACCAGCCACCACCCATCCTGATGTTTTGGGCTGGGTGCTTAGCACCAGCCTCTCTGCAGCACACAGAATATGCTTTTAGGGAAGGAGAGGGCAGATTTCACACCATACATTGTCAGGTATCTTATAGTCAACTGGCAGCCTCTGGAGAACTTTAAGAGAGCAAAGGGTTTACATTGCGCCAGAGATACAAACCGTACAGCAGAGGATACCAAGATGGTGGCACAGTCACTTCATCAGTTGCTCCTGCTCCCGCTCCCTTTCCTACACCCTAGAAAGGGCAGGCAACATCTCCACAGAGGCTACATTCATATCCTTTACAGCTGTGGTTACACATTTTATACCTCCTGAGTCCTCTGCACTGCTGGGCCCAGGATTCAGCATTGTAAAAAACACATTGAAGGGCTCCACATGTCTGCTGCATACAACAAAATGTTATTTTCATAAAGATTTTATTTTTCCTGCACAATAGACTGAAATAGAATTGACATGCACAGTAGGCTAGAAATACTTTTCTTCCAGGAGATTTCAATCCATCAGATAAATACAATACATGCTTCAAATGTCCCTTACTTGAGGCTATGCTGATTGTGTTAAATTTCTTCCAGTCGACAGAAAATCTAAAGATTTTGTTCTAGCAGGACAGCAGCCTAAAGATTCCACTGCCTACAGATTCAAAGATGAAACATGATGGACATGTTGGATGATGGACATCTTTCTTTGGTTTATAGTTTTAAATGCAAAGTCAAATATATCAATTTCATATTAGGAGGAAGTGTCATACTGTTTTACTAAAATACAAATTTTCTGTCATCCTGATTATATTTTTTACTGCTTTTGGAGTTGTGAAATTAACTTCTAGTAATTCAGACCTTTCTAGAATAATCTGCCATTTTAGAGCAAAGAAAAAGCAAAAATAGTTAGGTGCAGGAGTTCAAAGAGTAGCAAATACCATGCTTCTAGCCAGAATTCCATTTACTTAATATTTTAAAACTAGCAAAATGAGGAAGAGCAAGAGCAGTTTATTACTTCCACACTGGTTTAAATATCCCTTCTGGATGAGTGACTGAGATCTACATTGTCTCTGGAGAACTGCTCATGACATTGCTGAGCCAGAAATCACTGATGGTCTAACAGAGTTACATGAAGATAATGCTTCTCTAAGACACTGACAAACTTCCTTTTTTGACTTGCACCATACTCTTTAATGATTACTACATGCAGAGATGGGGAAAAAATCTGAAATCAGCCATAAACTGGTTAATTTTATTTCCTGTGCCTTACCCAAGATTCCATTTTTTCTTGAGAAAAGGAATCAATGAAACATTGGCAGAAAGGGCAGGAGTTTTACAAATTGATTAAAAGTTTTAACAACCTTGTATCCAGCAAACTCAACAAAAATAGCCTAGTAAACTACAGGAATCCATTTCACAATCTGACAGTGCTTGAAATACCTTTATGCGTTCATAAAGAGGATCAGTTTTTCAGATCTACTTCTATTCATAAATTTTTCGTACCACATTTTTTAATGAAATATAACCAACTAATATTGCAGCATGCTAAATTTTAGCATGAAGGCTGCAAGTCTTCAAAAGGCAGAACAGGAGAACCTGATGGCTGTCCATTTTCCTGGGAATTCCTGTTAAACAATAAGGATAACTCGGAGTGGGATGCTGAATACCCAAAATCCTCAGCAAACATCAGATTAACAGCACAAGCTTTGTCACGTACTAACAAAGACAGTAAATACAAGATTATAATGCAGTGGTTAGCACATGCTAAAACTGCCTTTGCTGTTACAGTTACCTCTTTTAGACAGATTAAAACTAGATACACCAGCACACACTACGTTCACACTGGTTTTTTGCTCTGGAGATCCATTCACCACCCACAGCGTCAGCTTAGAGCACAAGCAACTTCTGATTTCAAAGGCATGACTGCAGATACTTGTGAAGTTCCCAAATATAGAGAACTTAATGTTCAACCTTTCTGAAAACAGCGACCATTTTGAACCTCTTCATGCCCTATTGTGCATTAAAAAAAAAAAAAAAAGGAGTTCTCAAAGTCCAAAGCACAGATCTCTTCAAGATAAAAATATAATTTTGCTAAAAATGGCCACTATGTAGCAGTATTCTGAAGGTAATAATAATAAAAAAAAGTTTTATATACACTGAATGAGTTTTCAATCTGCTTTTAATGAAAAGTCTTATTTTCATTGTCTAGTATCACAACATAAATGCTATTTTGTTAGACTTTTTCCAAGTCCAACTAAGAACAAGCAAGAGTACAATAAATCTTCCCCCCCCGCCCCCTCATTATGCAAATGTTCCCCTGATTCCAGGCATGATGGCAGGGAAAATGTCAGTATTATAAATTATCCACTGCTACAAAGGAAAATCCTTTTGTCATCCATTTGCATCTCAAGACAAATAAACAAACTTATCTCTACATTTTAATGAGTAAACTGCAACAAAAAGCTTATTTATTCAAACATACTTTAAAGAAATTACTCCTAATATGACATGAGTTTTCCCCAGAACCTAGAGAGCACTCTAGTACTACAGTAGCACACAGAGTAAAGCATTTCTAATGCTATAACTCAGTAGCAACACCCAGAGTAACAAGGCTGTACTTCATTTTGTACCGTTTTAAAATCCAAGGTTTCCTAAGAAAATATAAACTTGCATAATATCTTACTAGGATGCTTTTAGAGGTTGATGTACAACAGTAAAAGTTCAGGAAGATGGTTACAATTCTACGCCTGATAGCACCTAATAAAATGGAGAAACCAATCACCTACATAGTGCAATACTCCATTCAGCCTCCTACAGGGGCAGTTGTCCAAGTACTCCTGTACTTAGGATGCAAAAATAACACTGAAAAATAAGTGCAAGAGGATGAGAAAGGGAATTTCAATTACAATATCAAAGAAAAAAAATCCTAGAATGGCAAAAGCATGACCACAATGCTAAAAAGAAGTAAAAATCAGATATTTTCTGTAGAAAACATCATAATAAGTGTTATAAAAAGCACAGCATGAAGTCCTGTTTCCAAAATGCCTTTATTGCATTCAAGAACTTTTACTTTTGAAACACTTAAAAAAATAAAAATAAATTTCACTTGGTACAAAAATAGCAGACAACCCATGTATTTTAGAGGCAGATTTGGGGTTGACTATATAACCCTTCCTCACAGCAGCCTTTGCTAGAAGTAGTTTTCTGGAACAAGACAACAATGTCTTTATTTCTTTTTCTCAATAAAAGAGAACATGCTAGAGCAGGCAGACAAAATTGGGAATCGATCCTTTAGTTCAACAGCACAGACTGTAAGAGGCCAGATGGTCCAGCTCCCTCCTGCCCTCACTCTTGGCTTCATCCAGTTACTCCTGACAGCTCTCTCCTGGGCAAATCGCCTTTAGAGGGGGTGAGCCCTAAGCAGGGAGGACATAAGCCAGTCTGTGCCTCTCAGCCTCACAGCCAAGGATAGGTCTTTGACTCTCTTTTATTTACATACATAGAAATAAGAGCTGAGAATACAGGAAAGAAGCAGCACAAGTCCCATGGTCCTGTGTTGAATCTGATCTCTTCTCTCACATTATTATTTCTGTGATGTAACAAAGGTCTGGAAACAACCTAGAGTGAATACATTTGGAAAGTTTTTTTGTGCTTGTTTCAAATACAGAATTTGCTATAGTGTCACATTTGCTAGGGTGTGTATGCCTCTGAGTCCTCCCAAAATTATCAATATATCACTGAAGATAAATGTAAAATTGTTTCCTTTCAATGCGATTGGTTAATTGCTTCCCATGTTTATAGACACTTCTAAAGGTTTTACAGAGATGATGAGTTTCTGAGTATTTAGGAAAATGACCTGTATGACAGGTGTTAATTATTTTCTTTTAGAAAAGAAGGTTTAAACAGTTGCGCAGATTTCATATTTTAAAATGTAAAACTTACCTATCAGATCCTCAGCCAGGAATATTACAGAGTCTCCAAAATCATCCAAACAAACTAATTCCAGCGTATTTCAAATATTTTGAAGGTAAACTTCCAATTTATTAAATACTATGAACTTTCAAAGACATTTTCCAATCTGGACAATACTTAATTAATTTGAGTGTACTCCCTTAATTAGAAGAGTTCATTTTTTGGTACAGCAACTGAAACATAATTGACTCCAACTAAAAAAAGTAGAATTTTATACTACCAGTCCCTCATCCCACTTGCACAAGTATTTTCACACTAGCCCATACACTACATTGAATTCTGTTAAATTTACTTTGGGGGGTTTATGACACCTGGCCAAAACAGAAAACACACACCTGGTATCTCTACAGACATGCCTGTTAAATTACTGCCCCTTCAATCGTGCTGCTTCTTGGTGGCGGTGCAGAGGCAGGAGAGCAGAGCTGCCCCATCCCAGGAGGGGCTGCCCCTTGCACCCTGGGACACCAGAGATGGGTGACACACCAAGGGACACCAGGGAGCACAGTGTCAGAGGCAGAAGTGGGACTTGATGCCCTCCTGCTCAGGGGTGGCAGGGACAGCTGAAAGCATGGAAAATTCAACACAAAAGGCCAGCTCCATGCAAAAGCTGAAGGCTGCAAATGTGAACGCCTGCCAGCAGTGACTCTGCCTGTCCACAGGGCAGAGAAGGCCATGTGGATGGGAGGAGATGGTGGGACAGGGGTGGTCCCACCGACAGGTGTCTGGAGTCCTGCAGTCCCACCCAGCACTAGCCACCATAGCCTTCCCTTTGGCACCAGTCACCCAGCAAAATGACACAACATAAGAGCCAAGTGTTGGAAGTTAAAATCTGTCCTTGCAGCCTGGGGATAACAAAATGTTGGCAGGAGCTGGGGACCAGCTGCGGCCCGTGCTGCACAGGAGGAGCCCCTGCTGTCCTCTCACCCCCCATTTCCCCTTGGGCTGCAGCTGAAGGACAAAGTCTCTGCCTGTAGCGGAGTCATGTATGACGTGAGTCTACGGGGGCAACGCAGCCTCTCACGTTGTGGGTTTTTGCATATGGACAATTATTTCTGGTTTGAAATTTCTGAAAAGGAATCAAATTGTCTCAATATATTTAACTTTTGAGAGAAAGCCTACTCTAAAAAAAAAAAAAAAAAAGGTTGGATTTTCATCTTCATTTTAACATTTTTCTTCTTTCCCAAATTGCTGCTTTCTCTTTGCAGCCCTCCATTGTTTTGCATCCTTCTTCACTTTGCCATTGACAAGGAAATCCTCCCCACCACCACCAGAAAAAAAGGAAACTGGTATTCTCAGTTCATATCAAAAAGTCTATTTTTCATCACAATTTTGTCCCCAAAAGATCACTCTGTTCTGTCAGATTGTCCTACTAAGAAAGAAATAGCAAGACAGAAAAAGTGGATTATGTTCTGTTTATATGGCTGTCTGGGGAAAGAGAAGGTTCAACACTGTATAAGTCAACATCAGTACTTAATTTTAGTAGGCAAACAGCTTGTGGTACATACCGTCTCTCTCAGCTCCTGCTTTGAAACAATAATCACATTTGGAGGATCCCCAACAGCTGTGGCAGCCCCCCCAATATTTGTGAAGATTACTTCTGCAATCAGGACATGCCTAGGATCAAGATTAAGTACTTCACAGAGCCTGCAGTATATAGAGAACAAAATTAACCTCTTATCCTATGACTAAACCACCTTAAATCTTAAAATTTATAAAAACAAAATACAGCTATCTTACTGAAAAAATTGCAGAATTTTAAACATAATATGTTGCCTGCGTATACTGTTAAAGTTTTAATTGTGCTATATTATATTTGCCACAGTAATTATAGCAATATAAATGCAAAAATGATAGAATTTTTTTTACATTTATAATGAATTAATTAATGGTTACAAATTTTATGCATTTTAAAAAGTGTTTCATTAAAAGTAATCAACTCTTACAAGAGTTGGACTACACAGAAAATAGCATTTCAAATTTTCAGCATCATACAGCTTTTTAAAACATGGTCCTCAGGCTACACTGACCTACGGAAAGCTACTCTGGGCAACCACAGTCTCTGCACTCAGCATCAGCTATTAACTTTCTTGTGGGGAGTAGTGGTAGAGGGTTGTCCAGGCAACCTATTAGCCATGAAACATCTATTAGAGACCTCAGCTTACAGCCTAGATTTATCCAGTTTATTCTGTTCCTATTTTTCCCTTCCTCTAAAGCTTGATCAAGAGTATTTCTATTTGTAATACAACAAGAGTAGAAAATACACATTCCTCATTATTAAAAAAATTTCAAGATGTTTTTAGTTAAAAAATATTTAATGCTTCTTTAGTAAGATGCTTCTTATTTAAGAAGCATCTTAAAGTGCTCTGGCAAATAGTGGGATTGACTCAGTAACCTCATGATCCATTTAAACTGAGAGCCTACTTACAGACAGTAATCTTCACACAGATTACTTCAACTCGTACAAATTACATTTACGCACAGATCCACGCAATCTGCTCGTTTCTGAAGTACGTGTTTGACTTTAAACTTGGGCTGTGGCATTAAAGGCTGAAAGTTAAGCTCACACCTAAGCACTCTGGAATAAGGAACGACTGCATTCCTG